AAAATCCTTATTCAGGAGGAAGCCAGAGATAGTAATTTTAGAATTAATACAAACTTATCTGTGTATGCTAGAAAAAAATTAAAGGGTGGCCATTATAAGAATGTAAGTGGAATCAATGACTTATAAACTAGTAGATGAATAAAAAGAGAATAAAGATAACTTTATCAATCCACAGAAGATACAGCAGCAAATAAAAACAAATATGGGACAAATAAATCTAAATACATACTAATAAAAATACATACAGTGGATTAAACACACTGTATTTTATATTAGCTATTTATTGCGTCTAACTCCAGATTCATCCTTCATTGTCCGATCTACATAAAAGGATCTGAACCTTTTATAAATTTTTCCTTTTCCACTTCACATGGTGTTAGAATCAAAAGGAGCTGGAAAGACATTAGAGACGAAGCTCTTTTGATTCCGTTTCCAGTGCTCACTTGGCAGTGCAGATGACTTCCCCAGCTTTTTACTTCTGCTGTATACAGAAGTCTTTTCAGCACCCACTGGGATTGCTCTTCTAGCATCAGTTTCCTACAGTGCAGGCAACTTCCAGCACCAGACTCCTGCAGTACACACATGAAGCTCCTGCAGCACCCAGCTTTGGCAGTGCTTGATGGCCACCGTTACCCAGTGGCCAGCTGCCTGCCCCTAGTACTGGTGGTTCTATAGTAAAGAGCTTCTGGTGAGACACTCCATCAACAGACTTCCTCAGCACTCTAGAGTGTGTATTTCTTGCAAGGTCTGCCTATATGACACCACAGCAAACCTTTCCACTATTTAGTGAGCTATAGTGAACACTGTTGAGTCCCCTACAAGTCTGGATCTCAGCCTTGCTTGGGGATGGGGGGTTGGGAACTGGAGGGGATTGTGCTAGGGCACTGTCTCTCAGCCCTAGAGGTGTTAATTCCAACTCATGGCAACCCCACATGTTTCACAGGAGAACTGTGCTCCACAGGGTTTTCCAGTGGCTGTAAGGTTCTGGAAGGAGTCCCTGGATGGTGCAAATGGTTAAATGCTGGGCCGCTAACTGAAAGGCTGGAGGTTTCAATCCATCAAAGACGTGCCTAGGAAAAAAAGGGCTGGCAATCTATTTCTGAAAAATCTGCCACTGAAAATTCTATGGAGTACGAGTCTACTCTAAAACACATGGGGTAGCTATGAGTTGGAATCGACTCTACAGCAACTGTTTTGGGCTAATCTTATGGAACTAGACCACCAAGCCTTTCTTCTATGGCTATGTTGGGTAGATCTGAACCACAATCCTTTTGCTTTTTAATTAAGGTAAAATTTACAGAAAATAGTATTTCCCTTTTTAGTGGACAATTATGAGTTTTGACAAATACATATAATTCTATAATCATGGTCACACTTAAGATACAGAAGAGTTCCATCATCCCCTAAAATTCTCCTGTGCCCCTTTATCAAATCATCCCTTTCCCCCGAGGCAGCCACTGATCTATTTTGTTCCTATAGTTTTACCTTTTCCAGAATTTTAAATAGAACCAAACAGTGGTGTATTATACCTTTTCCTTCCCATATATAAAATACAGTCTTCTCATTTCCCCCGTCTTGAAAATTTTTGATGTTCCTGACTTACCACCAAATGAGTCATTTGTCTCAGACTTATCTTTCCAGTATCATCACTTAGTACTTGTATCTTTCTTTTTCCCCACTCCAAAAAAACCCTACCACCATTGAGTTGATTCTGATTCACAGCAACTCCTCTTGGGTTTCCAAGGCTGTAAATCTTTACGGAAGTAGATTGACTCACTTTCCTCCTGCAGAAACACCAACCTTCTGGTTAATAACCAAATGCCTTACTCACTATGCCACCAGAGCTCCTTGTCTCCACTCCACACACCTTTCATTCTTCTTACAAGAGAGTACACATCTGCAAATATACCTTCCACCTCCAACTCTGTGTTACCTCCTTGTCCATCCACATATTGTTCCCTTTGTCCAAAATGCCTTTTGTCAACTTTATTTATAGAAAAAGCATTGTAAGTAAAGACACTAAACAAAGGTCCTCCTGAGGAGGGGATTGGGGAGGAGTAGGAACTTTCACTTTGCTTCACATCCTTATAACCCACACATCATAGGAACTTTATGTTCAACATCATAGGAACTTTATGTTCATGGAAAACAACTACATTCCCTTTCCCATCACAAATGAGGTTTAATATATTAGCTATGTATAAGGGGTGGCTGGCACACACTAAGCCCATTAATTTGGTAAGCATGCAGTCTTTGATTACTAAGAACATCACAGGTTTATTATTGTTCAGTTTTGGGAGGCTAAATGTTACTTGTCACCTTGAATGGTACTTGTCAGTCTTTTCCGTCTGTTAGAATAAAACAGTTATTATCAGAATTAATTAGACAAATCAGTCTACCAACTAAAAAGGGCCACAGACAACCACACACAAAACTGCAAAGGTACCTATCTTGTCCATCTGAGTTCTTGTACATTGGTGTTTCATACCAAATCCTTTTAAAACCATTAGAATACCTTTTAATCAATTCCCTTCCATTTCAGCTTTGCTACAAAACTTTTTAGGGACACCAAAGGCTTTCATTTCCCAGATGTTATCTGCAGTGGTTAAAGCATTCAGCTGCTAACCAAAAGGTCCGCAGTTCGAACCCACCAGCCATTCCATGGGGGAAAAATAAGGCAATCTGCTTTCTTAAAGATTTACAGCCTTGGAAAACCTATGAAGCAGTTCTACTCTGTCCTACAGGGTCACTATGAGCTGGAATCAACTCAATGGCAATGGGTATCTCCACGCTGTTGCTGTTAGGTGCTGTCGAATAGTTCCAGCTCAGAGCAACCCTATGTACAAAACACTGCCTGGTCGTGCACCATCCTCACAATCCGTGCTATACGTGATCAGCCACTGAGTCAGTCCATCTTCCTGAGGGTTTTCCTCTTTTGTGGTGACCCTCCACTTTACCAAGCACAATATCCTTTTCTAGGGAATGGTCCTCTGACAGTACGAGCAAAGCAGGTGAGGTGAAATCTGGTCCCCTATAGGGGATATCCCTATAGGTCATGGTAATTACTACCACAAAGCCAACTAACATTATTTCTATCATCTTTTAAATGTCCAATTTACATTCTTAATTAATGAGAATAGTTTGGGCCAAAGCGGTTGCTGTGAACTATTTTGTGCTCGTCCGAGTATTTCATTCTGGGCCAGCTCTATAATTCTATGTCTGAAGACCTCTGGGCAGCAATTTGTCTTGTCTTGAAACTACCTTTCACAGCAACTGCAGTTTTTACTGTAATTAAGTATTTATTTGAGATGACTTGTGGGGAGGTGGGATGGTAATGGAGATTAAAAGGGACTTTAATATCCTTAAGCCATCTTTCAGAGCCACCAATAACTTCACTTCAAATAGAAATTCTGAATGAACTCTTTCATCTCTCTTAATCATGGGAACCAGAAACAGAAGAAAGATTGCAACCAATCACTGAAAAGAGGAAGAGTAGAAAAGAAAAACTAACTGTCCAGCAGAAATCCAGAGAGCCTTCAGGCTAAAAGTCAGGAGACAACAATAACAACAACAAACTCTTCCAGAAAGTATGTAGAGTATGTCTCTACCTCATATGGCATATGGGATTCCCCCAGCCTCTGCTCTGGGATTCTCAATCTTCAAGCACAGCCTGACAGTTACCAAGTCCAGTCATAAACCCAGAGTTTCCAAAAAGACTTCGTATTCATAGGACAGACATCAAGACAATGTGAGGCTTAAAGAGAAAAAGATTTGAGGAAAAGAAAAAAGATAGGATAAATAAAATAACTGACCTCCCAAGAAACAGAGATCATTCAAAGAAAAGATAAATTGAAAAAACATTTAAAATCTTCAGAGATTCGAGGTTTCATACCTATAAAATAATAGGAAATTATGAAAAAGCTGTAAAAACAAATAAAAAAACTCCTCTTAGAAATTAAAAATAAAAATTTCAAAATAAAATAGCATTTAATAGGAAAGATGAAAGATAAAGTCAGGGAAAGGAGAAGGATATCTGAACACAGACATACACACAGGACACACAGAAGGAAGATGGCCATGTAAAGACTGAGGCAGAAATGGGGGTAATACAACTACAAGCCAAGGAAAGCAAAGGATTGTCATTAACCACCAGAAGCTAAGATGAGAGCTGAGAACGATTCTTCCCTTCACGGGGAGCATTGCTGTGTTAACACCTTGTTTGGTCTTCTACCATAATAGGACTGTGGGAGAATACACTTCTGTTGTTTTAAACTACCTAGTTTGTGGTAATTTGTTACAACAGCCCTAGGAAACTAATACAGACTGACAATATAAAAGTAGAGCTGGCAAGACTGAAAGAGGAGAGTATACAAAGGGAAGAGCAGAGGTTTTAATAACCTTATCCAGTACTAAAACAAGTCAAGAAATACTGTCTAAACTGGTAGATCAAGAAAAGGAAGTTATATTTAGGATGGGAAGAAGAGAAAGAGGGTAAATAAGCTCAATCCTCCTCATTCATAGTGAAAGTAAATAGAAGAGATTCTAAAATTAAAAATCCGTCTTAAATAAACAACATAAACGCAATAACCCATAGCTGTCGAGTTGATTCTGCCTCATAGCGACCCTACGGGACAGTACAGGACTGTGCTATAGGGTTTTCAAGGCTGTGATCTTTATGGAAGGAGACTGCCACATCTTTCTTCTGCAGTGTGGCTGGCGGGTTCGAAACACCGACCTTTTGATTAAGCTGAGTGCTTAACACTGTGCCACCAGGACTCTTGTAAGTATGAAAACTAAAAACAAACAGAAAAGGTAAAAAGGGAAGCAGGCCAGGGAGGAAGCTTTAATATAAATGCTATATGGATTTTCCTTTTCACTATGTACACATATTTAATGAAAATATTAAATGGAAAAACCCTTGACTATCCCAAATGAGAAACATCTTAACAGCTTCATTACAAAATATCAATTTAATATTAAAGAATAGTTGTGTTGCATACCTGAGAATCTTCAGAGTTGTACTGAAAGGATTCCATATTGCCCATAATGGCAGTTCCCAGAACTGACATAAGAGCCATCTTGTGATCTGATACTCTGGTTTTCTGCCAAATAACTGCCTAGGGACAAAATGACACAGACAACTTTTAACATAATTTAGGTTTACTAAACTCAATTTACTAAACTTCTATTTACTAATTTTACCAAATCCCTTCTTGGGTTTCTGAGGCAGCATCTCTACGGAAGCCGACTACCCCAGTCTTCCTTCCAAGGAGTGGCTGGTGGGTTTGAACATCAGCCTTCTGGTTAGCAGTCAAATGCTTTAGGCACTATGCCACCAGAGCTCCTCGATTTTACTAAACTTCAGTTTATTTAGCATCCCTCTCCAGCGTGTATTTTAAGGATCATTTAGAAGAGATTTATGAGCTACGAATTTTGACAGAACAAACCCTGGTTCTAAATTTTAGTAGTTGTATATGTTGCAACGTATAATTTAATCTCCCTGAGCTTCAGTTTTCTCCTATTTTCAAGGTGACTAAGAATCTCCCAGAGTTATTGGAAGATTAAGATATAATATAGCAAGCATTCAGGTCAGTGCCTGGCATCAGAAGTTTCAAATGAATATTAATTTTCTTTTTACTTCTAATTCCAAGGCCCCTCTTCAGAGTGTATTTAAATTAAACTTTTACTCTTTTTTTTTAAATTACCTTTATAATTCCCTTTTATAAACAGAACTCACAAAAGCTAACTTTTATAGACATAATAGTTGAATCTGAGCTTGGATTTTTTCACTGCATGTATACAGTAGTATAGTTTAAGAGAATCATGATCAGGTTTGATATACTGAAATTTCTTCAGTTAACAATATCCAATTATATTCAGATCCCTTAAGAAATCACCAATGTACCAACAGACGAGAGGACCATGGGAACTTGAGTCTACATGACCCTGACACCTGAAGAACTGAATTGTGCTTGGACACTACTGCCAACCAACTAGAAAGGAATCAAAATAGGAGATACTGGGTAGAGTTGGAGAAAAATGTGGAACAAAACACAGAATCATAAAAAGGACCCCACTTACAGTTCTGACAGAGATTGATGAAACCCCTGAGTTTATGGCTGCTATTCACCTTTCGGGCCTGGAACTGAACTCACTCCCATGGCTTAAATTCTAGCCAAACAACAGGCCTATCAAGTGAACAATTATACCAGATAGGTATGCTCCTTGGAACAATCAACCATGAGAGATCAGAAGGACAGCATTGAACAGGCAGACAGATCACAGGACAAGAATACATAGGAAAGAAGGACACAGGGAAAAGGCAACCACAGGGAGGAAGTGGGAAGAGAGCTGTTAATTGTGGGGACTGCAATTAATGCCACAAAACAAAATGTGTGTTAACTATTGAATGGAAAACACATTTACTCTGTAAACTTCCACCCAAATCACAATTAAAAAAAAAAAAGAAAGAAAATAAACCATCAAAGCAAACACAATTCATTCATTTGACAAATATTAACTTAGTACCTCTTATGACTGTGTAAAAGGCAGAGAGAACATTAAGGATCATCAACATTCGAGGAGCAGGAAGAGAAAGGAGATAGAAAAGGAGTCACTAGGGCAGAACAGCAGGGGCACATGCTAAACAGAACAAGAAAATATGGTAAGAAAAACGAAGCTGTCATACGTATCCAACACTGAGAATCCAAGTAAGAACAGAGATGTGACCACTGGACGTGAACACTGGAACCAGGTAGGTGAGAATAGTTTTAGGAAAATAAAGATAGATTTCAGTGACATAAATAGTGACTACAGGAAGAGCATTAAAAAGTAAACCTAGACAGCACCCTTTGAGAAAATGTGGTGTGAATTGCAAGCAGAGATCGGGCAGTAACCACAGGCAGGTATGGATCAAGGGGGAGTCATAATCTGATATACTTCATTAGGAGACAGTGAGGGTGCGGATGCAAGCAGGTTTGCAGACTCAGTGGCTGGGGGTTGAGAAAGCCTCTCTTCATTCTCTTCTATTTTTTGTGAGTGCATTGAAGTAAGAGAGGTCATTTGTTGAGAGTGAAAAAGATCGTGATTTAGAGATTTAGGATTTAAGAACTTGTGGGATACTAACAAAAGATACAGAAGAAGAATTGCTGGGGAGTACTAAGAGCTCTGGTAGCATAGTGGCTAAAAGCACTTGACTGCTAACCAGAAGGCTGGCGGTTCAAACCCACCAGCCACTCCTGGAAGGAAGGTTGGGCAATCCTACTTCCGTAGTGATACTGCCTTGGAAACCCAAGGAGGGGTCGCTATGAGTCGGGCCGACTCGACAGCAAACAACAACAACAACAACAACAACTAAGAGCTCATTTGAGGCAGATTATCTTTAAAAGACTAAAAAGGCAGTACTCACATCAAAAAAAGTTTTCAGTGAACCAAGTGGGTAAAACTGAGCAATAAAGTTCTAATTCCCATCCTACAAGGAGCTCTGGGGTGCTGTGGTTAAAGCATTGGGCTGCAGTGCCCGGCCACCACTGTCAACCACTGGGGAAGAGATCAGTGCAAGAGATCGTAGATAAAGTGGGAAAAAGTTTTGTAAAACAAAACTCAAAATCATAAAAATGACCAGGCTTACTGGTTTGATAAAGACTGGTGAAAACTCCTAGTCACCTTTGGTGCCTAGAATTGAATGAACTGCCGTGGCTTCCAGCCAAACAATAGACAGCCATATAACATGAACATTTACACCAGCTAGGTACACTCCTTAAGGAGCTCAGGTGGCATAGTGCCTAAGGCATTTGACTATTAACCAGAAAGTTGGTAGTTAAAACCCACCAGCCACTCCGTGGAAGGAAGACTGGGCAATCTACTTCTGTAAAGATTTACTGCCTTAGAAACCCAATGGGGGTTGCTATGAGTCGGAATTGATTCGATGGTAGTGAGTTTGGTTTTGGTTTAGGTATACTCCTTAATCAACCAAGGGACATCAGAGGGCAGTATTTGCACAGGGAAATAGTTCAGAGGGCAGGAATGCACAGGAAAGAAGGACACGGAAAAGGTAACCAACCACAGGGAGGAAGTGGGAAGAGAGCTGTTACATTATGGGGATTGCAATCAAAATCATGAAACAAAACGTGTATGAACTGCTGTATGGACAATGAAGTTGCTCTGTAAACATTCACCCAAATCACAATTATTAAAAAAAAACAAAACAAAACACTGGGCTGTGTTTTGCTTACTTTGTGGCGCTCCAACAGAAATATCACAGGTGGATAGTTTAACAAACAGGAGTTTATTCTCTTACAGTTTAGGAGGCCAGAAGTCTGAGTTCAAAGTAGCAGCTCTAGGGGCTGGGTGAAAGCCCCTTGACCTTGTACTTTAGTCTGCCGCTTACTCCCAGCCCACTGAAGCTAGAAGCGTCTCTTTACTCAAGCAACTGCTGGCTGCTGAGGCTAACAAGCCTAAGGTCAACAAGTAAAATGGCACAATCCCAAAATCACCAAACAACATGGTAAATCACTAGTCCAGAGACAGTCCCAAGACTGGCAGAAAATATGGCAGACTGCTGAATGCAGGGTCCAAGTGTGCCAATAAACTGCAGAGACCTTTCTCAAAAGTTCTCCTTATACACTGGAAACAGACTACACCCCTAAAGCAGCTACTCAGCTGCTCCAGTAGATTCCACCATAGAGGTGATTACTAATCTCATCATGGGAAACAACTACATCTAGCTGCCTAGCCACTCAAAACCAGGTCCAGCCAAGTTGATACATAACTTTAACTACCACAAGCTGCTAACCAAAAGGTCAGTGATTCCAACCCATAAGTCACTCTGTGGGACAAAGATGAGGCAGTTTGCTTCTGTAAAGATTCATAGCCTTGGAAAATCTATGGGGCTGTTCTATTCTGTCCTTTAGTGTCCTGTGAGTCAGAACTGACTTGATAGCAGTGGTTTTGTTATTTTCCCATTCTACATTTCATTTTTTAATAATTTTGACAATGAATGAAATTGGCATACTTTTAAATTGAGGCCCAGGTGATTCTACAGTCATCTCTTAAAGCTTAAAAAAAGACAGAAGTGTTTGACTCAGCTAGAGACTGAATCAAAGGATTCTGGCCAAAAGAACTCCATAACAATGACCAGGAATAAATGTAGGTGAGAAGTACTGATACTATTATGTACACTAAAACGAAAGATGAAGTAAATAAACTCATGCTTTTCTCTTATTGGTATGTGTTATGGATTAAATTGTCTCCCCTCCCATCCCCAAAATATGTGTTAGAATCCTAACCTCTATACCTATGGATGCAATCATGCTTGGAAACAGGGTTTTCTTTATTTCATTAATCAGATTGTACCTGAGAAGGGTGGGTTCTAAATCTAATCACTTATAAAGTATAAAAAAAGCAGATTAGACATGGGAGGCAGACAAACATGGGGGAAGACATGCTATCTGAGGATCTTCTACAAGCCAGAGAACTCCAAGAAATCAAGGAATGCCTAGGACTCCAACAAGGAAGGAGTCAACGTGGCCATAATCCTGATTTGAACTTTCAGCCTTCAGAACTGTGAGAAAATAAATTTCTGTTCTTAAGTGACCACTTATAGAACTAGCTCACTGGACAGCATGTTAGGAGATAGCAGTGAAAGTGCCATTAACAGGAAATATTTCTCTAATTTTTTAAGGTAAACTATGCACAAACTTTGGTACTTTCCTAATTAATACTGTAGCCAAGAACTGCTGGATTGGAGAACAGAATGGACAAACTGGTAAAAGGGAAAGAGGAGATGGGAATAGATTAAGGGAAAAGAAATAGACTTGATATAGTTGGTAACTGACTGTATGTGGAAAGAAACAAAAGAAGAATCACAAATGATTCATAGGACTCTGACGTGGGGACTGGAATGGTATTAGCATCATTCATTAAGATAGGAAACTGAGAAGTAGGTTTGGTAGCAGGAGGAAGATGATGAGTCCAACTTTTTACTACTGAATTCCTATCACAGAGAATAATGCTAGGTGCCCAGTGGTGCTCAATAAACACTTATTTGTTGAAGAAGTAAACAATATATTTTCCTAGAGAAAAATAACCTGAGTAGAAATGAAAACTACCTCTTTAA